TATATATATATATATATATATATATATATATACATGATCTATATCCTGAGTAATTTAGTTTACTTCATTGCAAAATATAACCATTCTTTTTTTTTTTTTTTAGTGCATTAGTCCAGGGGTCGGCAACCTGCGGCTCGCGAGCCGCATGCGGCTCTTTTGATATCAAGATGCGGCTCTCCAGCTCCTTGCACAAATACTAATAATCTTAATAAAAAATAAAATATTTGAAACAAAAAAATGTTAGTGGCTCTTTAAAACCAGGGAAATTTTGAAAATTGTAACTTTTGGCTCTTTTGCTTCAAAAGGTTGCCGACCCCTGCATTAGTCTCATTTGAAAATATGTTTTATTTTATCTCAGCTATAATATATGACCATTCTTAGAGAACAAAACAGAAAATATTTAGCCCAAACTTATTTTGAGTGAAGAGTAGTATCCTATACATGCTGGTCAAAAATATATAAAGACGTTAGCTTGATTCGTGAATGGTTTCTCGCGGTATGTTTATTTTTTTCATTTTTGGCTTTTATAATATCAATTTTGAAAACATTGATTTTTATAGCTATACTATTGTATAGTACGTCTTATTTAAATAACAATTCAGAGAATCAATTGCTTTTTAATATACATAGTACAAAACTATTTAAATGAGCTTCGTGGGCATCCCTATTTTAAAGAAGGGCAGTAAGTCATGGAAGTAGTGTGAATGTTTACCTACCTTTCAAACTATAGCTCTTGTAGATTTTAAAATATTTTTCTACGCAACAATCTCTGCTATAGTAGACCTGTTTTTTTTTTTTTACAAAACCACTTTCAAGATGCATGAAAACATAATTTAAAAAAAAAAATGCATTGTTTTTTGGTCGGCCGTGGGCCCCTAAACGTCCTGGGCCCCCCCGCATTGCGGGGTCTGGCGGTATGGTAGTTCCGCCCCTGACTGTATGTCAAGTTCACTCTAACAGTCAATGAGTTACACAAAATTGCCCGGGCAATGTTTAAACTTTTTACTCTGAATAGAGGGGGGGGGGGGAAGTTTGTAAAAAAAAAAAAATCTCACATGTGGAGGAAAAAAACAACAACCCTCGGCTGTGATTGAAAACAATTCGAAATACACCGTACGACTTGCGTCTGGTCACAATGTATTACCCGCCCCGTCACTAGAGTGCTTTCCCCTGAATCATGTTCACAGTTGAACCTCGCGGAGAAAATGATTAAAAAAAAATCCCTTATATGTCAATGTGGCAAGTCAACACCCAGCCAGATCAAACTTATAAGTTTTAGCCGGTTCATTTAACCTCGTTCAGATTGTTTATTTCATACTAGCTTTTGTTTACATGAAGACTAGCTCAGCTCTTTCATAATACAAGCATGCAAGTTTAGCTCTTTCATTATTGAAATATGGAAGGTCAATAGGTCAACTTCTTCAACCTAAACGTTGACATGAAATTGTTATTGTTGTTGTCAAGTTTGACGTGTTGGCACAGCTCCTGTTATTGTTGTGTTGTTACTGTTTTTGATACTTTTGTTACTGTGATTGATACTTTTGTTACTGTTAATGATACTTTTGTTACTGTTATTGATACTTTTGTTACTGTTATTGATACTTTTGTTACTGTGATTGATACTTTTGTTACTGTTAATGATACTTTTGTTACTGTTATTGATACTTTTGTTACTGTTATTGATACTTTTGTTACTGTCATTGATACTTTTGTTACTGTCATTGATACTTTTGTTACTGTTATTGATACTTTTGTTACTGTTATTGATACTTTTGTTACTGTTATTGATACTTTTGTTACTGTTATTGATACTTTTGTTACTGTTATTGATACTTTTGTTACTGTTTTTGATACTTGTGTTACTGTTAGTGATACTTTTGTTACTGTTATTGATACTTCTGTTACTGTTATTGATACTTTTGTTACTGTTTTTGATACTATTGTTACTGTTATTGATAATTTTGTTACTGTTATTGATACTTTTGTTACTGTTATTGATACTTTTGTTACTGTTTTTGATACTTTTGTTACTGTTATTGATACTTTTGTTACTGTTATTGATACTTTTGTTACTGTTATTGATACTTTTGTTACTGTTTTTGATACTTTTGTTACTGTTATTGATACTTTTGTTACTGTTATTGATACTTTTGTTACTGTTTTTGATACTTTTGTTACTGTTATTGATACTTTTGTTACTGTTTTTGATACTTTTGTTACTGTTATTGATACTTTTGTTACTGTTATTGATACTTTTGTTACTGTTTTTGATACTTTTGTTACTGTTATTGATACTTTTGTTACTGTTATTGATACTTTTGTTACTGTTATTGATACTTTTGTTACTGTTATTGATACTTTTGTTACTGTTATTGATACTTTTGTTACTGTTATTGATACTTTTGTTACTGTTATTGATACTTTTGTTACTGTTATTGTTACTTTTGTTACTGTTATTGATACTTTTGTTACTGTTATTGATACTTTTGTTACTGTTATTGATACTTTTGTTACTGTTATTGATACTTTTGTTACTGTTATTGTTATTGTCTTGTTCGGTGAATACTTTACTGATACCAAATCCTACGTGCATGTTTTTATACTGCACCCCGACCCCCTCCCCTCACACAATCATCTCACCAATACACCCCACCAACCCACCCACCCCACCCCCAATATCGTCAACCCCTAACGCACAACACAAGCTACCCACTCACCCCAGGTACCCACCCAACCCGGGTACTCACACAACCCGGGTACCCCCCCCCCCCCACTGCCCCTTGTACAGCCCCACTCCCAAGCTTAGTACAACGTACACACATCTATTTATAGCCATTTGTTTATAAAACAACCGATACATTTGTAGCCTGGTTGTGTTTAGACCTGAACACACCACAAGGTGACTAGTGACACAACACCTATACTGTCACATTTAAGACAGACACATTTACATATCACCCACGTTGTCACATTTAAGACAGACACCTTTGTACTCATACAAATTACCAAAACCGCCCCAGAAAATACGAAAACGATTAAAATATTTCTAAAAAATTCCAGACTGTATAAAAACTGTCACGTAATACTTATTTCCTGTTGAGCGTTCGACCAACTACAGATCCATAATGTCAATAGACGTTAGCATTCCTTAAATGTGACCTAACCTTTGAAACATGTTTTAATCACGTGACAAATTAACACCTTACTCCACCATTCATCTTTCATGCACCTTGTCAACTAACCGATGACATCACATCCTGTTGTATTCACGGCGCAGGTCCTAAGATTGTTTGTATACATTCAATTAGAAAACTCTCATCAGCTGGTGTTTATAATTAGCATCTACGCACTAATTTCCAGGTTCGTTAACAAGTTGACGTATTCTAGATGTGGTACTGACTTAACTCTGATATTAAAAAAATGGCACCACTGTTCTAATCTATGATTCCAGAACTTTCGTTATGGCAATAACCAGACTGACATCGGCACTGACAAAAGTGACAAAAGTACTTACAAATCACCACTACTGACAACACTGACACCAGCACTGACACCAGTACTGACAACACTGACACCAGCACTGACAACACTGACACCACTACTGACAAAACTGACACCAGTACTGACAACACTGACACCAGTACTGACACCAGTACTGACAACACTGACACCAGTACTGACAACACTGACACCAGTACTGACACCAGTACTGACAACACTGACACCAGTACTGACACCAGTACTGACAACACTGACACCTGTACTGACAACACTGACACCAGTACTGACACCAGTACTGACAACACTGACACCAGTACTGACAACACTGACACCAGTACTGACAACACTGACACCAGTACTGACAACACTGACACCAGTACTGACACCAGTACTGACAAGAGTGACATATGACACCACAGAATCCAGGTCAAATATCGATTCCCTCATTTTTCCCCATCAAGTCGGCATCACTTTGCCATTTCTCGGTAACAAAACCAATTAGATTTTTAAAAACTTACTAACACTGTACTTAAAGTAAGTCGGGAAACAGTCAAATATCTCTATCATTTAACTCTGATGTTCAGCGCTGAACTTGGATGCTAGACCTAACTAGAATGTTGACCCGTCGGTTCATTCAATAGGTCATCGAGGCGGTGTTTACGTCACGCCTGGGGTCATTGAGTACAGTCCTGGGCAAGAGACAGACCGTGACCCCGGGGTCACTGTAAACACGTGATCATCCTCCCACATACAGATGTAAACAATCGAGCAGACGACAGGGTGCACTCAGTGAACCCGGGACTGTACGCACCAGGGACTGATCAGTGTAAAACCTAGGGACTGATCAGTGTACGCACCAGGGACTGATCAGTGTACTTTAGTTATTTCACCTAGTAGACATGTCTTTATCTCATCCCTATCAATCCCTCACCCCCGGGCTCACCCCTATCAACCCCTCACCCCCGGGATTAAGCCCCGTCCGTCTGGTACAACCAACCATCTGTCTCCTACACGTATGTATCGGGCACGTATTGCCGGCATCTTTTTTGCCGTTACCAACTTTTCCGGTTAGTCTGCCGTCCGGTTAGTCTGATGTTGCTGATTAGGCAAGTAAAAAGGTTAGCCGGTACACCATGTTTTCCGGCTATTTTCTAGCACCCAACCTGGCCAGTAAAACACATCTACAAGACATTACCTAACGACTGAGAAAGTTTATTCCCCTGATAGCGTAGTTTACCCATTAAGTTGAGTACTATCTGCACTTTAGTGTACTGAATGATGACGTGTACTATAGAATATACGAGTGTAAGTGTTTACGTAAAGTACCAGCTAAATGGCGAGATGATGACGAGGTATTGTGAGATTGTTGGCTTATGTCACGTGATTTAGGTGCGAGCTTTAACATGATTGGTCGTTGGTCCATGCTTGTACGCCATTGGTCTTTACTTGACTATAACGACAGCTGTGAGCAGACTTCAACATCCACACCACCACCACCATCACGACCAAACAACATCCGCACTAAACACGACTAAAACGGGATTAATTTTCTTCAATGACCATCTAGCCTCGATCTGAGTGACAAAATGGCGGTAAGTGACGTTGTCGCAGGGGAAGTAATAGCTTGTGAGGGGAGGTAATCGTTTGTTGTAGTAAATTACCGCGGTAGATGGTTAGTTGTGTTGATTGTTATTGTGTATGACGTGTTGTCGCTACACTAGACAGTACTGTCAAACATAACGGCGTAGCCTGGTAGCCGGGGGGGGGGGGGGCACTCGTATGTGCTGATACATACATACAGGTTGACGGCAGTAGACTTGTAGTAGTACGTTTACAGAGGATACTTTTATTGATATATATATATATATATATATATATATATATATATATATATATATATATATATATATACATATATATATATATAATATTATATAATATTATATTATATGCATGTTTATCGTAGTGCTATGGTTGTTTAATCACATCCCGTGACGTTATTCTTTAGCTTTTATTTTTGTCAATCGATTTAAATAAGTTAGAGGGTGTCTACATACCTTGAGCAGCTGTTTAATTAGAGATGCACTCAGTAACCTATCAATGTGCAGACATATAGACAAAATAGATCTCCGCCAGATCATGACTGGTTGACTATAGAAATATCTGGCCATCAAATGACCTACACAAATATCTGGCCATCAACTGGCCTAAACAAATATCTGGCCATCAACTGGCCTAAACAAATATCTGGCCATCAACTGGCCATCATCTGGCCATCATCTGGCCATCATCTGACCATCAAATACTACCTAGCCATCCAGTATACGTTCAATAGACCAGCTACAACACCCTAACATAATCTCAGCCATGTCAGTTCCTGACTGACCAGCGGTATTTTCATGCCATATTTCTTTTACTATGGCTTTTACAAGCTTTTATTTAACTTGATTGCTCGTGCTTTTGTTTGTCTTCGCTATTGGTCGAAATTTGTGAATGAAATTTCATTCACTTCTACCGAACCGATGCCTTTCAAACGTGACACATAGGTCAAGATCTAATGACAACGAAATGTGACATCAAGTTTCAGATACTCAGACGTTAATTATTATTTTTGAATTAATTAAAGAATGCTTAACCAAGTATCAATCTATCGCTACTTTCTCACACACACACATTCTGTGAGTTCATTCGGTGTAGCCCTACTGTTGAATACAGTTATGTGATTTGATTGTATTTACAACTTGATTTATATAATGTATTAATATTTGAAAAAATGAATACATTTCTATAATGTATCAATATTTTAAAAATAAATAACAACGTCCTTAATAATAAGCTTTTATAAACGCATTAAAAAGAAATTAAAAAAAATAACATGATTTTCTCTATTAATGTATTGGACACCCTTATTAAAATTTTATGAACGACCCCGGCTTTTCTCTACAGTTATATAAATAGCATTGCATTATTACATATTTAAAAAAAAAAAATTTGAAATTTTTCTTTTTAGTGCATAAAAAAGCTTGTTATCACATTTTTAACTCACAAAAAAATTCGATATCTGAGTAGTTAGTTATTAGAATAGATTTATAAGCATGTTATATGTTGTAGAAATAAATAACAGTAAACTTTTTTTGGACAAGTTATTTGTGTACATTCGTGTTTTTTTTTAAATTTGTTTAGGGGACAAGTGAGTTGTTTATTTTTCTATCATTTACATAGAGCAGATCTTGTTTTAAATATTTTGAAGCCCAGCTTATGAAACCTAAACCTAACCTGCCGGCTTAGCAACGGGTTGGTAAATTCCAGGCCGCCGTGTAGCAACCAGCTATTGTTGTATGACGTCACTTCCGGGACTTGACGCCATTACTATGACGGCGTCATATCCGTGTCTAGCCAAGGGCCGAGAACTCTAGCTACTAATCTCATAAAACACAATCAGTGATCGCCGTGGTTCGCCCGGAGCGATCCGATTTCTGGGATTGTATGAAGATTTTGTGACCACGGTAGCGGCCCTTGTTCATTAAGTAAAAAGCTAAGTCAATGGCGCCACACCTAGGGTATTCTCCCTTGCTGGCTGGCGGGAGGGTGTAATGAACTTAGTTCAGATATAAGTAGTTGGACATAATATGGCTGGGGAGGGGGGGGGGGGAAGTGGGAGTAACGCTGGGTACATGGGGTGGTTGGGTGAGTTGCTTCTTTATGGGTGTGGGGGGGGGGCGGGTAGGGCGTGGTGAGGTGGTTGTAGGGTGGTTAAGATAATTACTTGATTATGTGTGTGTGTGTGTATGGGTGGGTTTTTATGAGTTTTGTGAGTGTTTGTCTGATGTCTGTGTCTTCAGCGTATGAAACAGACATAGCTATATCATGCTATAGGGGGGGGGGGGGTAATTATACAAGCCCTATATACCATATTGGACGACATTCTGTATTCTATGAATGGAGGGGTGCTACCAACTAGGGTTGTAGATGCGATAATATATGGCGAGGGGTGGTGCAGGGCATGTCCTTTCACTGAACCACGCGATCTAATTGTAGCCAATAGCTAAACCCCCCCCCCCCCCCCCATTCCGATACCGATCCAGTACGTACTGGCACTTATTTCTCGCTACACTTCACGATGCCAGTCGTTTTGTGACAGAGTTCTTTCACGACCAAGTCTACCTTTCTTCCCTGCCCGCCCCACACGGAATGAAAAAATTTGATTAATGATTTCCTTAATTGGACGGGTCAATCAATTCTGTTTATAAAAATAGTCGCAAATTAAAGACCACGACTGGTGATTCCGAATGGTTGCTCCAAATTTTGCACTAAATCTAAGAATGGTCGTTCCAAAATGTGCACTAAATCTAAGAATGGTTGCTCCAAAATGTGCACTAAATCTAAGAATGGTTGCTCCAAAATGTGCACTAAATCTAAGAATGGTTGCGTCACAATTAGATGCCCAACTTTAGTGGAGATGAGTGTCAAATAACATTATGACATCAAATGTCATTATGACATCAGATTAATGATCAGCGGGGTGGGGTTTGGTGTCAATTAGTGCGACTTGGTTTTTACTAGTTTCTTATTCACGTTGTCAGCGACTATCAGTAGCCGTGGTGAATGGGGTCAACTTTTTAGTAATATCAAATTTTTGGCTCGTCCGTGGGCTAGTCTGTGGGCTTGTGGTGGGCTTGTGGTGGGCTTGTGGTGGGCTTGTGGTGGTCTCTGGCTTATTGTGGTCTGTGGAAGTCAGATTACTTGTGGAGGCTTTTGGGCTTGTGTTGTTTTATGGGCTTGTATGTTATGGCGCTGTCTATGGGCTTGTGAAGATCTCTGGGTTTGTGTTAGTTAGTGAGCTTGTTTGTTATAGGGCGGTCTGTGGGCTTATTATGGTATGTGGTGGCCTCTCGGCTTGTGATGGTCTATGGGCTTGTTTGTTATGGCGCGGTCTGTGGGCTTGTGATGGTCTATGGGCTTGTTTGTTATGGCGCGGTCTGTGGGCTTGTGATGGTCTATGGGCTTGTTACTGTCTGTGGGTTAATTGTGGTCTATGACGGTCTGCGAAGTTGTAACGTTCTTTGGGGGTCTCTGAGCTAGTGGTGGTCTTAGGGTTTGTGTTGATTTGTGGTCTTCTGTTGGTTTGTGGGCTTCTGTTGGTTTGTGGGCTTCTGTTGGTTTGTGGGTTTCTGTTGGTTTGATTTGTGGGTCTCTGGTAGTCTAGGAGTTTGTGGGGGTGTATTGTGCAGATAGTTGTGTGGACAGCTGCATATAATTGTGCAAATAGCGATGAGTTGTGCAGATAGCAGGAAGCCGGCCAACAATTAACGACTGCTGTAGACACAACAATCGCATCAGCAGGTGACTGTAATTAGCTCATAGAATACAGGCTGAGTGGCTGGGGTTGGGACAGGGTTATCTTAACTTGGTGGCTGCCCGGGGGTGGGGCGTCCTGATATTACGTCACTTAGAGTCTGACGTAGTTTGAAGTTTTGTGATGATGTATATCTGTGGGGAGAGTTAGGGGTGCTCCCAAACTGTACCCCACCTTTCTTGTGCTAGTTGCTCCAACTGTCCCCAGCTATAGCACTTTCTTGTGCTAGTTGCTCCAACTGTCCCCAGCTATAGCACTTTCTTGTGCTAGCTGCTCCAACTGTCCCCAGCTATAGCACTTTCTTGTGCTAGTTGCTCCAACTGTCCCCAGCTATAGCACTTTCTTGTGCTAGCTGCTCCAACTGTCCCTAGCTATAGCACTTTCTTGTGCTAGTTGCTCCAACTGTCCCCAGCTATAGCACTTTCTTGTGCTAGTTGCTCTGTCCCCAACTATAGCACTTTCTTGTGCTAGCTGCTCCAACTGTCCCCAGCTATAGCACTTTCTTGTGCTAGCTGCTCTGTCCCCAGCTATAGCACTTTCTTGTGCTAGTTGCTCCAACTATCCCCAGCTATAGCACTTTCTTGTGCTAGTTGCTCCAACTGTCCCCAGCTATAGCACTTTCTTGTGCTAGTTGCTCCAACTGTCCCCAGCTATGGAACTTTCTTGTGCTAGTTGCTCCAACTATCCCCAGCTATAGCACTTTCTTGTGCTAGTTGCTCCAACTGTCCACAGCTATAGCACTTTCTTGTGCTATTTGCTCTGTCCCCAGCTATAGCACTTTCTTGTGCTAGTTGCTCTGTCCCCAGCTATAGCACTTTCTTGTGCTAGTTGCTCTGTCCCCAGCTATAGCACTTTCTTGTGCTAGTTGCTCTGTCCCCAGCTATAGCACTTTCTTGTGCTAGTTGCTCTGTCCCCAGCTATAGCACTTTCTTGTGCTAGTTGCTCCAACTGTCCCCAGCTATAGCACTTTCTTGTGCTAGTTGCTCCAACTGTCCCCAGCTATAGCACTTTCTTGTGCTAGCTGCTCCAACTGTCCCCAACTATAGCACTTTCTTGTGCTAGTTGCTCTGTCCCCAGCTATAGCACTTTCTTGTGCTAGCTGCTCCAACTGTCCCCAGCTATAGCACTTTCTTGTGCTAGTTGCTCCAACTGTCCCAAGCTATAGCATTTTCTTGTGCTAGTTCCTCCAACTGTCCACAGCTATAGCACTTTCTTGTGCTAGTTGCTCCAACTGTC